AAAAGCGCTTCGAACACGGAGGGAGGTTGTGGGGCTTTCGTGTTGGGGTTATTTGACACGGAGCCCCGAAGGAAAGTTTTTGTGTTGAGACAATCCCATTTGGGGCATGTCATATTTTTGGGAGACGGTTTTTGGCTTCCCTTCAAACAGCCTTAAACATGGAGCACCCTCAACAAAGACACCCAGATCAAGGTTCTCTTGGAATTTGAGCTTGTGCTGCAACTGGCATTCTCTTCCTTTCTGATTTCCGGTTTAGGACACCTTGAACACGTAAGCAAGACTGGCCGCACAAATTTGTCAGCCGCAATCGATGGGTTCGCTCATGCATGCCCAACGACATGGGCTTGAATCGCTTGTGATCGCCAATCTCAAATTAAAGGCTGGTCTAGGTCCATACATGAACATCCATGGCCATTTTGCACCCAGGGGACTGGTTTCTGATGATTAAGCCACAGCTGGTTAATTTACCCATAAGCTGCAGGTTCATCCAGGGGGTTCATATATGGACATTCAGCCTTTGACAATGATGCTGTTAGCTGAAGAGCTCCCAGGGATATTTGCAAGTTGGACTGGGGCGCTCATGCCATTTTTTGAGGGCATGCATTTGGTTTTGTTTCAAAACCGCACTGTTTTTTGGGGGTTTCCATTTGGAGACAACCCGATTTGAGGGCTATGGTCGTCCATCCAGGAATCTAGGGATCAGAAGTTCAAATCCGGAGCAGCTGATCCAGGATCCAGCTTCTGGGGGGTCTAGATTGATTCTTCTGTGGGTTTTCAGGGGAATTCTTAAGACGCAAGAGCTACAAGCTGTTCAGTGGTGCATCTGGGAGCTACTGTGGATGGACGAAATTCATTTCGCACCACTTGGAATAGAGGAAACCCCGTGAATAATGGGATAAACCACCCACCAACTGACGCAGGATTTGGTCCAACCACAGTAGGGGCCCTTGGAATGCTCTCTCGGTGTCGCACGCCAACCTCTCTACGCATCTGGGGCCGCAGCTGTCTCACGCTCTAAAGGCGGGCGAAAGGACCCCCCCAGGAAGCCAGACCGGGATAGGCGTCTAAAAGCAGAGCTCAGATCCAAACGGGCGTGTCACCAGGCCGCTTTACACTTCCTTAACACACAGCGCCCGAACCAGCAGGCAAGAAATGCGGAAGGATGCCAGGGAAGTCGCCATAACTGTGATCGTGATCTACCCCGTGCCAGCTAGGAGGTACATCTAGCCAGACCTGTTTTGCACGAAGCACCAAGAAGACCGTGGGTCAGGGGCAATTTGTTTGCTTCAATGTGCGGTAGTCTCCATGGCTGAGACGACATGGGAGTGCGCTGCATTTGGTGGCTGGCTTTGCTGTCAGCCTTCCGGGAGGCGAGCGCAGAAGACGCGCGGGGTCTGCAGATCACGGACCCATTTGTGGCTTGGATCTGCGGTTTCGCAGCTGAAAAATCAGGCCCGGGCCCCCCTTTACCAGGAAACGGGAAGGAGATTGTTTGCGTGATTATTGTTCAAACAGTATCACACAAGATGCTGGCCACCCTTGGTGCAAGGCCTTCCTTGTATAGCAGAAAGTTGTTTGCCAACCACGGCAAAAACAAATGACACTATCCTTGGGTCCTTGAAACTAGTCCTTCTTGATTTTTTTTCAAGTCAGACTTCTTTGCCTTTGTCAAGCTCCCATCGCCCTGGCTAAATTTTGAGCTTCAATCCGGTGATTCCCACCAGTTCCGCGGGAAACCGGGAGATCTTTCGGAGATCGGCCCTGGAGCTTTCCCGGAAATTCCCGGGGGGCTGTGGTGTCTGGAGAGCAAACGCCTTTTCGCCGGGGTTGAAGCAACGCCCGAAGAAGGTCTCGTTGAAAGAGTTGCACAAGCCGAGGGGCCGCATCCAACCACCGCACCCAGGTCACTTGCAGTGACTTAGGGGTTACTCTTCTTCCCTACTCGCCTAATATTTTCGGAAGAGGAATCGAACCCCTAGACATGTTTTTTTTTTCGTTCTTCTTATTTTCTCACACATCTTTAGGGGAATCCCCCCAAAAAAACAAACAAACAAACAAACAAGCAAACTAACAAATCATATGGTTTTCCTTTTGGTTGGTTGTCTTGACAAGAACACAAAACACGGGGGACCTTGGAACAAAGGACCCCCCTTCGCATCCATAGGCGTCCATTTTTTTAAAGGTTAGCTTGATTAGAAATAGATGGCACTGGTTTCGATTGGTTTTATTCCATTTGACAGGGCCATCTATTTTCCAAAAAGGACACCCTTTCGATTCTTCGTATCTTCCTGGAGTCTCCTTCTGACCCTTGAAACATGGTTGGTCATTACCCAAAATTTTGGGGTCATGGACCCAATAAAAGGGTCAGAAGGAGACTCCAGATTCTTTCCCGGGGCGTCTTTAGGTCACCTCCACCCTGCCCACGGGCTGTGGGCTCCATGTGCAGCTGGGCCAGCAGAACGCCGCCGCAGAAGCCGCTGGGCGCTGGGCTCCCGGGCGGGGTCTCCCCTTTTTTTCTGTGAAGCCCGAAATAGGGTAACCCCAAAATGGGTCAAAAATAGGGTAGCTCCAAAAAGTGGGTGTGGGTCAAAATAGGGGATCCCCGATAAATGGGAACAAGGACTAACACCTGCGTATCCCCAGTTGATTGATTTTGAGCAACACCCAAGTGATCGATTCCCTTTGAAATCAACGGGGGAAAATGCACAGCAGCTAGTGCTCAGTAGGGAACCCATGCCCATGGTTTTGGGAATGCACCTTTTTTTGTTTTTGCGTTGTGGGGGAAGAAGGGGGCCGGGGGAGGAAAGGTGGTATGGACGCTCAGAGTGTACTGTGCAGCCTGGAACCCCAAAAAGAACAATACGCCAAAAGAAGAAGTGGGTTGCAAAATAACCCCAAATGTCCATCATACTGGGGCGGGAGGGAGAGGTGCCATGGACAAGAGACCATTTTGCAGGCCCAAGCCTAAACACCCAATACCCTAAAGAAGGAGGTTGCGAAATAGGCCCGGGTCCACCGTCCGGTGTGTGTGTGTGTGGCTTGTTTTGTTCTTTGTGTTTTCAGAATGCCCAGAAAGGCTTGGTTTCAAGGATTCCCCAAACCATGTAAGTGATTTGATACAAGTCCCCACCATTCCCCAGCAAATTCTTCCCCCGTGAAACTTCATACCCATTCATGCTGTGGCATTTTGTTAGGCGGCCTGTTCAAATGGAGACATGGGTGAATCAGTAGACCAACACTTTCTTGAGGTTTGCTGGCACCTTTTGTCGAGCTATTTTACATGTTGAGGCTCTCCAAGACGACCAGAGTTAAACATACTGACGCAGATTTGGCACTGTCTTGGTTGGGCATACCCGATACCTGAGGGTTATGTTAAAGAGCTAGAGGATAACGCCTTTTTGGGTGTTCCCTCAACAATGTCAAAAACGTTTGGGCGTGCTTCAGTTTGTGAACGGATCTGTTTCAAAAGCAACCAAGACTTCAGAAATCGGCCCCCATGTTGAACTCATGCTTTCTGGTTTCTTTTGGGTTGCAGTTCTTCTTCTTTTTTCCCTACGGTTCGCGGTTTGTGTGGTGTTTTTCCCTGCGGGCCCTTCATGCGCGGGATCTATGTCCGATTTTTCGTGTCGCAAAATCTTCTCGAATCCCTCAGGACAGCGGCGAGGTTCAGCTGCTGGTGGGCGAAGTCTTTTTCGGCCTGACCCTTGCCCTGCCCCAGGCGGGCTGAGACGTAGGGGTCACATTCCGTGGCTACGTCCGGCTAAGCCTTGAACTATGCCACTCAGAAGCTGCATTGGTGCAACATGTCAAATTCCCACTTGCAACACTTTTCTCCGAATTTGAAAGACTCATGCAGGGGTGAGATGGTTGGGTTTGAATGGCTTGTTCTGGATGTGTGTGGGTCGGGTGTGGTTTACGGGCTTTGCGTTTGTCTTTTGGGGACAACAAGTGGAGCCCTCTGAAGGGGGATTACACTTTACTGGTGACTGACGGTGAAGGTAGTTTTGGATGTACATGTTACAAGAGGGCATACTTATGCGGGGTGGAAGTGGACAGAGTAAACGGCAGTCTGCCCAAATCCAAGCAAGTGGCACAATTGGTCCCTGTTCGTTTGGCGGCCCCGCTAAACATGGAGTTATCCCCCTTCTTTTTTTTTCAGGGTGCCGTTCTTGTATGTTTTCCAAGGGGCACCAAACTGAAACCCGGATGTTAGGGGGTTCCCCCCATTTTGAGCCACCCCCCACCTGAAAAAAACAGAGTCCTCGAGTCCGGGGTTTGGAGCGCAAGGGCTATGTCTTCAACGTGGACCAGGCCGGCAAGCGGAAACTCTTCCCCGGAAGCTGATTCCAACCATTTCTTTTCAAGCCGTCATGTTTTTTTTTTCGTTTCACCCGCGGTTGCCCCCGGGTGTCCGGAGGTTTCTTAGGATCCCTGGAAATGGGGAACGTCGCCCGCTCGGAGAACCAGTTTCAGGGCGTTCCTGTTAGGCCCTGTTTCAGGTTGGTTCGGATCTATTCCATTTTGATTCGGACGTATCCCATATTTACATATCCCATATTCATGGTTGTTGTTGGGAAACATTTTACATTTTTGCTTATTGTGGTTTAGTGGGAAACCCCCACTCAAATGCTAAAATTTGATTTTTTGCTCCCCTTCCAACGTCAACCCAGTATTTACGTGGCAGCAGCAAGTTCGCGAGTACCCGCCAGGTTGGTTGTTCAGTTTCAGGCATCGCTCGTGAGACTCAGGATGATGTTTGCAGTTGTGCATGGCACATGTCAGCCGTTGAAGTCTGCCGATCGATATCTTTCTTGCGAGATGCGCGGCCCTAGTTGGGCATGTTTCGTCAAAGTGTACAGTAGTCTATCGTCCAGTTGGGTGCGTCTTTCTTGGTGGACCCCCAGAAAGGTGCTTTGTCTTTTGGTTTCCCTTTAAAACAACCAAAAGGCACTTACCCTCAAGAAAGCATTCAGAAGCGACATGGACACTCACTAGGCTTT